GATCAGCGTGGTCCAGCGCTTCTCCTCCTTGCCGAGGAAGGTCTTGAACTCGGCTGGCGTGGAGGAACGGATCTCGACGCCCTGGACCTTGAAGCGTTCGATGACTTCGGGATCGGCGGCGATCTTGGCAATCGCCTTCTGCAGCTTGTCGACGATCGCGACCGGCGTGCCGGCCGGCACCACCATGCCCTGCCAGAACACCGCCTCGAAGTCCGGCAGGCCCGCCGACTCAACGACGGTCGGGATGTCGGGGAAGGCCGGCGAACGCTTGAGGCTCGAGATGGCGATGGCCCGGGTGCGGCCCGTCGCCAGCACAGGCTTGGCTTCCAGCGCGGCCGAGAACATCATCTGCGCCTGGCCCGACGCCACGTCCTGTCCGGCCTGCGCGCCGCCCTTGTAGGGGACGTGGGTGATGTTGAGCCCGGCCTGCGCCTTCAGAGCTCGGCGGCGAGATGGTTGGTCGCGCCGATGCCCGAGCTCGCGATGTTGAACTTGCCCGGGTTGGCTTTCACATAGGCGATCAGCTCGGCCATGTTCTTGGCGGGAAACTCCGAGTTCACGTGCAGGATGAAGGGCGTGAACGACATCAGCGACACGAGCTCGAAGCTCTTGTTGGGGTCGTACTGGACCTGCCCCGTCAGCGTCGGGTTGATCACCAGCGACGTGCCGGCGGCGTAGATCGTGTAGCCGTCGGGCGCCGCCTTGGCGACGAAGTTGGACGCCACGGTGGTGGCCGCGCCGGCCCGGTTGTCGACGATCACCGGCTTGCCGAGCTCGGTCGAGAGCTTCTCGGCATAGACGCGGGCCACCGCGTCGTTCACGCCGCCCGGCGGATAGGGCACGACCATCGAGATCGGCTTCTGCGGCCAGTCGGTCTGAGCCGAGGCGGCAAACGGCAGGACAAGCGCGGCCAGGGCCGACGCCACAAAAACGGAACGCTTCATTTCTTTCCTCCCAGACGACGATTTTTCCATTGGCGATTTTTCTATTCGGCGACGAAGACGGGCAGCGTCACCTCTTTGTTGACCGGCTCGAAGCCGAGCTTCACGCGCAGCCCGATCTTCAACGCCGACTCCGGAACGCCGTGCAACTGCGCGTTCACGCGCACGCCGGCATCCATGTCGACCAGCGCCACGATGTAGGGCGCCGATACCTTGAAGAAGAAATTGAACGGATGGTGGCACACCGTCCAGGCATGGAGAGTGCCGCCCAGCGGCGCCTCCTTGAATTCGCTCTCCATCGAGAAGCAGTGCGGGCAGACAGGCCGCGGATAGTGACGGACCTTGCCGCAGGACGAGCAGTGCTGCAGCAGGAAGCGGCCCTCGCGCAGGCCGTCCCAGAAGGGCTGGCTCTCGCGCGTCGGC